ATATATATATATATATATATATAAATATTATAATTCTTAATTTTTTAAATATCAAATAAAAAATATTTTTTATATATAATTTTTTATTTTTATAAAACACTTTTCCTCAAATCAAGCTCGAGCTTATGAGTTTTTGACTCGAGCTCAATGTTCTAGCTCAAACCGAGCTCAAGCCTAGTACAACCTTGGCGAGCCGAACTCAAGCCTCGTACTATTCGGCTCGGCTCAGCTCGAATCCACCCCTAGTAGTTACTCCTTCCACAACCTCTTCCTTGGATCTACAACTACCTTTGAAGATCCTATTGTTTCTTTCCTCTCACACTGACTATAATACAACATCTCTAGTGGCTCTCCACATGATCCTTCCACGAATCGTTGGTTGCCTGCAAAAAGTTGGATCAAAGAGGTTCACCACGCTCGAGGAGGGAGTCCAACTGTAGTCAAGGAGAGAAGAGAACCAAGACCAAGTAAAGAACACAAAGGGACATGAGATTAGTAAATGTGAAATTGTCTTACCAGAACCTAAATAGAGACAACAAACATGGGGGGAGAGGCACATATTTGGCCTCTTTTTCTGCAATAAATCCAAGGTGTTGATTTTTTGGGAGTGCCACTTCCCAGCAAAAGGCTTGAATTTTTGGGGGTACAGGGCTACCCCACACCTCCTTTGAAGGAAAGTTCCCTATAAGGTTAGAGGTTTGAAGCAAAATGATATAGAAAGAAGAGCAATTAAAAAAAAACCAGAAGGGGAAGGTTTCCAAATTCTGCTATCTCTACAAGACTGATCAAGAAAGACTCCCCCTAATTGAGTGATCAAATCATCAACCATCCCCATTTCAGAATCCCTTAGACCTCTTCTCAAGCCCAAATCCCAGGAGGTATCAACAAACACTGAAGAGATCGCTTTTCTTTTGTTTTCAAACAAGGAGTAAATAAAAGGAAATCTATCTCTAAGGGAGTTTTCACCAACCCAAACATCTTCCCAAAACAAGACTTTATTTCCAGCGCAGACATTTCACATTAAAAAATAGTGGCAATTAAAAAAGGTTATAATTTTATGCCAAGAAAAATATATTAAGAGAGTAATGAAAAGGGAAAAAGAACAAGGGGCAAAGCCCTTTTTCTATTCAACAAAAGAATCTCTCTTTAATTCTTTTTCTTTTCTTAAAAACCTTGGATCCTTTATGTTATAATTGTAAAGCCCTTAAACAAGTATAAGTAATACACAAAGTGTAATTTTTTTTTGAAAGGTGATTTTTGTTCTAATGGTAATATACAGAATGTATTATAGGATATATTAATATTAACAGGCATAGTAATAAGATGTAGCCATAGCAATAATATTACAAGAAAGTGTTCACCTTGTATTTTTATCACCTAGATGGGCATCTTTTTTCATAATAACCATGGCGTTAAGGTGAGACACCCAATTAAGGGCACCTAGATACCTTGATACCCATCATTGTAGCTTTGCCTTATGGGAAAACTCAATTAATTTCTTAGTGTTATATTTATGCACTGTTTCTTTTAATGCTGTTTTGAGAGAGGCAGAGGCAGTATGAAGGAGCATGAATTTATGAGTAAAGATCCCCCCCCCATTAGAACTTTTGAGCAGAAAAAATCTTGATTCATCAAAGCCTTTATTGATGTTGAGCTACTGCTTTCATTGTCAAGTACATGCAACTAATGAATTAATTCTCTAATTAGTATTTTACTTGTTTGGGAACTGGTACTCAGAATGAACTTATATTTCAAGATTCATATTGTTATTGGGAAGTTGTAATGTCCAAAATCAACTTTCTATGAGAGGTGGGCAGCTAAAAATAAATGTTGCTTAATCAACTTGGGAAGTATGAGTAGAATTAAGCACAATCCTAGTATAAACATTAAAAAATAATAAATCAAACTGGACTTCATGTATTTACCAAAGCTAAAAAACAAGTTTGTAAAAAAACATGGATTTTCAACTAAGATAACTTAGACTCAGGGTCAGGGAATCATGGGGCAGATAGGGTTATAGGCCTTAGGGATGCTAAGGTTACTACAAGCTTAGTTTCCCTTGAAACTCATCTTTCCATTTTTTATCTTCTTCTTCATCAAAATAATATTCACCTCCTCATCTTCCTTCCTTTTTTATGTATTTGCATTACCAGGTCCATTTGGTATTGGAGGTTCATGATTGGAAGAATGAAGGTGGGGGACCATTGTATTTGATCAAAACAATAACTATATTAATGATCTAATAGGTTAAAAAAAGAAAAGCAACCCCTTGAGAGTCAGGACCCTACCCAACAGAATAAAATATAAAAAAAATCCGATAGTTTAAATGAGACATTATGAAAAAAAAAGAGTTAGCCTGGATGGTAGAACTCCATGTCCAGTACATCTTAGCTCTCTTGGAAACATTCTTGACCAAAGTTCTTTGCTAGAGAACATGCAAATCTCAGGATCCATCCGAGTAAGGTGTTCTTCCTATTTAAATCTTTAGCCTCTCTTACATGATGTCACATCAACCTAGGGGATTTGGAATTCCCAGTCATCCATCAAATGACAACCCGAGAGCCCTCCTCTACCCAAGGATCAAAATTTTGATACAATACGCCCGATACAGGGCGTATCGTATCTTTGGGGTCCTGATACACCTGTTTACAGGTGTTTTGGGAACCCTCTTTTTTTTAATAGAAAATATACTTAACAACATCCCCAAAAACCAATTTTTGAAAAAAAAAACTAAAAAATATATAAACGCACATGGTTTTTAGTACCGATGCGCCTCTGCCGATACACGGGTGTATCAATACTTTGAAGTTTGAACCATGCCTCTACCTATTCTTTCTCAACTCCCAAAGAGAACAAAAACGTGAGATCCTTGAGCATCACCAATGTCCACTTCATGAACTCCTTGAGTGGGGGGGGGGGAGGGTTGTGAGTTGTGACAAGGGCAGTCCTTTATACTAATTTGTTTGCGCATTTCAAATTCCTAACAAGGATGGCAAAATGTTATTTTCGGGATCCATTTCCGAGGAGACTATTTAGGCATGAAATGCTGCTTGTCTTGATGCTCTTAACTATTTAGGTAGGTGTGCAACTTGGGTACCCGAGTTTAAGACTTTACACTGTATCGGGCCCAGGCCCTCAGGGCGAATCCATTCAAAATTTAACAAAAGCTCAACCCAAGTCCGTCCAAGTTGCACCATTATATTTAGGCACCTAGTATTCTTACCTGGGTAGTTTGGGCGATTTGTAGAATGCAGCTAGGTGAATCTCAGCTGGTAAAATAATGTTGTGCTACCACTATCATGTCAGAAAAGCAATCTGGAATGGACTTCCAGTCATGTATTATCATTTAGTTGATGGATTGTCCGACTTTTATGCCAGAAATGGGGCATTTATTGCTGACTTATACTATGAACTGGGTTTATCTTTGCTGTTATTTTCTGATTCACTTATTTCCCCCCTGATATTTGGTGGTTCTACATCTCCTTGTATTCTCTTCATGAAATGCTGCTACTCTGTGAGCAAGGAAATCCTTATAACTTTCCTACCTCACAATTCCAGATAATATTAGAGGATATTATTATTTTATCTTGTAATGCTAAACGTTTCAGTCATGTTCAATTTTCAAAATTATGATTCGTTGAACTTACCTATATCTTTCAGAACTATATCTTCATATGTCAATGTTATATTTGATAAGGAAATTTTTATAGCTAGGTTATTGCAGCATTATACATTTTTGGTTAACTAAGTTGTTATTTGGTAGAACATTCTTTATATTCTCTATATCATGCTGTGCAGCTTATCTTTTTGGTTGTTTATGTTAGTGTAATCTTGTGTTTTCTAGAAAGCAATATGCACTTTTTGACTCATATTTTGTGCACTTCGGATTTATATTTTATGCAGGAACATTTCTTCTAAGAAGTATGGAGGATTTTTTATCTTTTCAGTGAGGCTTACTCTATCAATGCAAATTATTGGGTTTTGTGTGAGGTTGGCTTCTTCATCATTGTGGATTCAGATGTACAGATTGGGTATTTCATCTGAAGAAAGTGCATTCTCTCAAGAAGCAGATTATGATTTAAGAAATAGTTTTTTGAGCCCCCCAGCTATAGTTTGTCAGAGCTCTGATTCTGATGGTATTTTAGGAGGCTCCATTTATGACCCTGCTTATTATTCATCTCTCTTTGAAGATGCTCAAGAAAATGGATATCAGGTAGGGTGCATTTGATTTATATGAATTTGAATTGTATATGTCTTATTTGAATGGTTTTTTGCTCATTAACTGCATCTTTTATTACTCAAAAGATTAATTAAAACATCCAACGTGTCAAGGACTGCATTTTGACAAGAACAATAGTACAATACATTGGTTGAGGACTATGGATTCCTTCCAATCCTTTTCCTTTGATGACCTCTGGAGAAGTTGGATAGGTGTGGCGGTGAGCTCGTCCAGAAAACATAGGGTGGTTGCTGACTGGCCTCCTCCGCCTGAAGGGAGTGTAGAGTTGAATTTCAATGGGAGTAGTCAGGGTAACCCAGGACCCTCTGGAATAGGAGGGATTTTGAGAGATAAGGATTGCAACATATTAGCTCTTTTCTCTGGTCCAGTAGGTTTGGGAGACTCTAATAGGGCTGAACTCTTAGTGGCCCTACAAGGTATTCAAATTGCACATCAACTTGGAGTGGAAAATTTAATAATTGAAGGAGATTCTAAAGTTGTGGTGGTTGGCTGGCTGATCCAGATTCAGGGGTTTGGTGCTACAGGGATCTCTTAAAGAGAGCCAAGTGGTTAACAAGAAACATGTGCATTAGTTTACACTGGGTGGGAAGGTCGGAAAATGCTTTGTCTGATTGCCTTTCTAAACAAGGGGTTAATAGGGAAAATTTGTACTGGGCTGCATTGTAATTTCTTGTCTTTTGCTCCTCTTTTGCTTAATCTGTAATTCCTTTAAAGGAGAGGTTGCACCTTGTGCCTCTCCTTGGGATGCTTGTCACAGTTTTCTCATCTTGTTAATAAATTCACCATTCAATTATAAAAAAAAAGATTAATTAAAACAGTATACTGCTCTACAATAGAGCCATCCCACTTGTAATTAATAGTACAAATAGGCCCAATTAGTTTGCTGTTTAGTCTAGTTAATGAACCATTCAATTATCAACAAAAAAAAAAGATAAATTAAAACAGTACACTGCTCTACAATAGAACCAGCCCACTTGTAATTAATAGTACAAATAGGCCCAATTAGTTTGCTGTTTAGTCTAGTTGGTGAAATCCATCTAGGTACCTATCTAGTTCTATAAATATTTGGATTTTTCAATCTTTAATAGGAGCCATATGCTACATATAAATATTTGGATTTTTCAATCTTTAACCCGATCTTTTGTCATCATCATCATCATCCATGTCTTGTCCCAACTACATGGCGTCGGCTACATGAATCCTGTTTTTCCAATCTGTTCTATTTAATGCCATATCCACTGTTAATCTTTTGTTACTCAAAAGGTTAATTAAAACAGTACACTGCTCTACAATAGAGCCAGCCCACTTGTAATTAAGAGTACAATTTGGTCCAATTAATTTGCTGTTTAGTCTAGTTGATGAAATCCATCTAGGTATCTATCTAGTTCAAAATAGAAATTTTGCATTTTGTATTGATCAAGGTGTCATTCTAGATATGAAAATACATAGTAGGAGCCATATGCTACATATAAATATTACTAGTGGTCAAAAAACGTAAGATACATCTACTAATTGTTGTAATTTGTAAAGACTTGAATGTTGAAACCAAGAAAAATTGACAAGTAAACATGGAGGTAATTCAGATTAACAATTGAAGCTATTTTTCTCATTGAGATGCTGCTTATGGTCATATAGAAAATTGTTGACAAGGTGGTGGATTTTTGCCAGAAGAGCTTTTGAAGAATTTGAGCAGAGAGGGAAGGCAAAGATCCTTAAGAAAACCACTTTAGGGGAAGGGGGAGAGATTTGGAAAGAGGAAGGAGGGCAGGAAGATTTTTTTTGATAGGGAGGATTGATTCTAGCTGTTAGGAGGAGCTACTAGGAGAAGGAAGAAGGAAAGAATCTCGTTTACTTTGTTTTGTAGCTTTGCTTTTTAATTTTGTTGGAAGGTTTGCTTTTTGGGAGTTGCTACCTTAGTACCTACTAAGTGGTTGTAACCAATTTTATTCTTTCTTTTGATAAAATTTATTTTATTATAAAAAAAAAGAAACTATATAAAAAATTCAGGTGGCTGACTCAACTTGAGGCCAGAGAGAATTAGATAGGTACGAAGGGCTAAAAATAGCATGGCAGATGAATTAACAAAGCAAGAGGTGGGGAGAGATCCAAATGTTTTGAGTGCAATTGTAAAAGAATGCCAAAAAAATGTAAGTAAAAAGAAAGAGGAGAGATAATAGAAGTTACCTCCTAAAAGGATTTTTGTATATATGTACACTTTATTTTCCATGATTAATAAAATTGAAGGTTATTTTTCAAAAGAAAAAAAGAAGAAGAAAAGAAAAAGAGTTCCCTCATTACAAAGGGTCTTCACTGTTAAGTTGAGCATAATAACTTCATTCATAATTACTGATAAAAAAAACTTCATTCATAATTAACAATTAAAAGTGCACCTGTCACACACCCAGCAATGGTGTTATCCTTTTAAATCAGAAATATTACAACAAAGCCCAAAAGGCTCACCCCTAGTAATCCCTTGTTTAGCTAATGTGTCGGCCAACCCATTTTCCGTCCTTCTAACCCATCAAAATGTTACACCAATCTCCCGTGGTAGACACCTTATTTCCCTCACAATCTGCCTATGAGTTCAAATTCCCAAGTTGTTTGCTTTCATCCACCCTATTACCAGTTTGGGACCCCCTTCCACTTCAACCTGTTGGGTTCCATCTATTTAGCTAAATGCAAACCTTGGAGTGGGGCCATCACTTCAGCTCTTAGAGAATCTCCCACCCCTATTGCTCCGAAGTAGAGAGCCAACAACCTTCGTTCTCCATCTCTTACAACTGTCCCTATGTCTGATGGGCCTGGATTACCCAAGGAACTTCCATTGCTGCGCTGAAGGGGCCCACTATTCTATCATCACAGCCTTTGAACTTGAGCAGTGTAGTGGCATCTTCCTCTTTTAATCTTTAGCACATAGAGATGCTGTCAATTGCTTCAAGGGCTAAAGATTAAAACTGAAGTCAAGAGTCTTCAACCAATGTGCTACCTAGATAGAGATGCTGTCAGTTACTTTTTCCTTGGTCTTTTCTAACCCCTGAAATATCCTGTTATTACTTTCTTCCTAGACTAACCAATGTATTGCTGCCCTTGTGGCTCTCCACATTGTCCTTCCCCTCTTCTTTGGCTGTCAAAAAAGCTTGAGTTGAGGCCTACCACATCAGGGGGAGTGTTTCACTACAACGAAAGAGAGAAGAAAACCATTCCCAAATATAAGAAACAAAAGGACACTAGATGTGTTATTGTCTCACCACAACCAAAGCCAAGGATACAAACATGGGGAGAAATGCACCAAAAAGGCCTCCTTCATTGAAGCACATCACAAGTGTTAACCTTCTTTAAGAACTACCTCCCAACAAAAGGCTCTAACCTTTGGGTGTACTGAAATGCACCAAACTTCTTTTACTGGAAAAAGACCCTACCAGGTTCATGGAGAGGAGGACATTGAAGAGAGGAACAAGAGAAGAAACCAGAGGGGGAAGCCGACTAAATTCTACTATCGGAGCAAGAAGAGTCTAGGGAAACTGCATTCAAGAGAGATAGGAGTTTGTGAACGGCTTCCATCTCAGAGTCCCTCAGTCTCAACCCCAGATCCCAAGAATTTCCACTACCACAGACAAAGGAAATGGTTTTCTTAGCTGACTTTTCACTACGCATCTACACCTGGACTTTTGTCTAGGTAATGGTCATTAAAGTGTCATTTTGTTTTGATCAGTAATGTAAAGTTTTCCTAACCGTGGAGATAAAGTGGAGTGCATTCACCAAGCCTATAGGTTGGCCTAGCCTTTTTTTTAGGCTAAAATACAGGTTACCAGTTTACCACCTTACACTTTGGGGGTAGTGACACTTAGCCCCCTGAACTTTCATTTGCGACAAAGACCCCCTTGAACTTTCAGATTCCAACACTTTTCCCCCAGGGAAACCAGACTTCTTAACGAGTTTCTGATGGAACCTAGTGTATAAAGAGGAGGAAGATTGGGAGGGGCTGGTCAAATATTGCAAAGTAGAGATATAGGTGGAAGGGGATTAGGAGAAATAAGGAATATTAGCTTTTTTTGAAGATAAATAAAAAAGAAAATTTTGTTACTGTGAAAGGAGTATTAGCTTGTCAGTGGTCATGGTTTGTGAAGGTGGGAGTGATTCCTTCTATGTTGGGTCATTTGAAGGTGTTTTTTTATCATATAGTTCAGTTTCTCAACTGTGTTATCCTTCAGTTTGCTTAGGATATGTGGAACTTTCTGGTTTTCTTAATTATCAAAAAAAGAAAAAATTTCTGGTTTTCTTTGTTGGCTGCTTTATGTCGGGGGTTCTAGTTCTACATGTATTTTTACTATATAGATTTCTGGGTTAGCAGGGTTTGTGCTGCTGTTTATCGCTCTACCCTGTTGGTAATCTGTTATGTGCATATCTTCTTTAGCTTTTTTTGTTAATAAAATTGTTTATTATTTTGAAAGATATCTTGTGGATGATATAGAATGTTCTAGGTGAGAGCAGAGTGGACATCGACAACCTAGTAGATAGGGGGGACTTCATGGACTGCTAAGTACTAGGTTCCATCAGAACCTAGCAGTCCATGTAGGAGAACTTCATGGGCTGCTAAGTGATAAATGATGCAAGATTTTCTCTAGAGAAATCCAGCCTCTAACTCTCATGGAGAAGGTACCAAGTTCTGCCTCCACAGCAGCAGATAGGTGGGACCACCGATGGAGAAGTGTGGTGGCGATTGAGAAAAAGATTCTGGTCTTAGAAGGAAAAAGTAGAACTCCATCGATGTTAAAGATCAGGGAAGAAGGGAGAGCTACGATTCATCTAGTAGGAGATGCGGTACAATGGCTGAAAGGTTTCACCAATGGGGCTCTGTTCTCTATTAAGATCGGGGGGTGGAAAAGTACACTGAATCTCTCAAGGAGAAGGTATCAAGCCAGTCTAAAATTCAACCAGAAAGGGTGGTTTTTGTAGATTGTAACATTTTTTGGAAGAAATAGATATCAACCAGAAAGAGGTTGGGGTTGGAGATTGTTGGCTCAGAAGCTTCAAAGTTTTTTGGCACTGAAGGATGGTGATTTGGCTATGTACAAGTCTCTGGCATTCATTAAGGGAGAACCTTCTAAGCTCCCATCGTGAGTCCTTGGATCGAAGGAGAGACTGAGTGCCGTGCACAAGAGAAAACACAACAACTTTCTGTGGAGGCTAAGATGTGCAGCATCAAATTTCAGTAGCTAGCATAGGAAAGGCTCACAGGTTAGTTCTGGAAAACGATTTTAGATGCTGGGAAGGAAAATTGATCGTTAAGGCTGGGAAGAAGCTTCCTAACTGGAAATTGATTGTAGAGGCTATTATGAAGAAATAACAAATTTCCTCTGGGGTTTCAGTATTTCCCATTGATGACAGAAGAGCCATTCTGGATACAGAGTAAAAAACGATTAACTTTAGGTTGATGGAGACTGAAATGGGGGAAAAATGGTCGTTCTCTTGCAACAAGGTGGAAGCAGTGGCCGGAGCTTTTGAGATATTATCGTTTGGTGGTTTGGCCTACCTTTCAATCTATGGAAGAAAATTTCCTTTGAAAGGATTGCGCAGGTTCTAGGGGGATCTCTTTTATAAGTTTATGTTTTTTTTTTTTTTTTTTTTAACGAGCAGCGAAGATGAAGATTACCGGCATTTTGCCGTAGGATGTTCCTTGGATGATTGACATTATTGCCAACGGTCTATGGACCAAGGTCTGGTTGGTCATGAAATTTGAAACCTCGCTATGGAGGAACGGGTTGGAGGTTGAAGAAGATGCTGATTTGGAAACAAATAATACGCGTGGAGATAGGAAGAGGAGGGTTTCATTTCCATTAGTCTATGTTTGGTTTGAAAGAAAAGGTAGGGAAAGGAAGGGAAACCTACCTTTTAAAACATAGCCTTAACAACGCATGGTCCTTTGGAAGGAGAGCATCTGAAAGTTTTTTTTGGGTGAAAGACTTAAACCTCCCTTGATGTTTCTAAAACATCCCCTCTATTTTCTAATTAGACTAAAACCTCCCCTATGGAGTGACGTAATCAGACAAAAAGTTTCCTTCCACTAGCCTTTGTCCAAATTGCTTTGTATATGACATCATGTGAGAGTTAATTTTTTTATAAACCCCTCATTGCCCCTTCGCTTGCTTATGAACAAGTATCGATGCACAAGATCGAGGTCGTACAAATACCATACGATTAGCGTCAACATTCACTATCTGTGTATAGAGAGATTCAGAATACAAAATACCAAGGGTGGACGGTGAAGTGATTCAGAATACAATCGGTATATCCTAGTTTTGTCAAAAAATAAGAAACGGTTTGTTGTCCAGTTCGGTAGCTATTTTTTTCTATAAATCTAAAGAATTTTTAAGGCCAAAATGGTCTTTTCATTAATACAGTTAAATATAACGCCACCTTATTCTGACAGGGGAGGTTTAAGTCTTTTACTTTTTTTATAATTGGAGAGCATCTGAAAGTTGAGATCCAATTCGAGGCAGGCCTTGAAAATGAGAATTGTGCAAATCTCCCTAGAGAAAATTTTATTTTGACGAGTGAGAATTCCCATAAAAAAGTAAATAGCGGTGGGGTCCACCGGCCCAGTTACTGAACTCCATGATATGTCGATGTTTGGGAGAGTTGGGGGCCCAATTAACTCGGCCCCAGTGGTAGAGGCTTTAGCCCAGGATGCGGGCCCAGACAGGAACCCCAATGGGTGTGAGAATTTGGGCTCACGTGAATCGCTAAAAAGGCACATGACCCACTTTATGGATAATAATAATAGTATATCATCGTCCCTGTCTACACAGCTTGATCGAATACAAACTTCTCGCCCCGACGGAGCTCTAATTGAAAGTTCAGACCTCGAAAACCAGTTGCAGTGATAGTAGGGAGACCAGTTGACGAAGGAAAGGTATAGTGCCCAAGAAATCGATTCTAGGCCCTAACAAATTAGCTTTTAAAAGAAGCAGATCGTATGCAAGGCCTGTAATGTTGGAGGTTAGAAAGAGAAGGGGGGAGGAGTGGGTCTGGGACTCTGGGTGAGAGCCAAGTACGATAAGAGTGGTAAGAAGAGGTATGAGGGAGGAACAGGGGATTGACTTGCGGACGGCCAGATTTCTTCTGTGAAAAACGATCTTGGGAGACGTCTACATGTTGCAAGTGAGCCTGCGGTGAGTTATATATACTACATCTGAGAATGGGACTGCAGACGTGGTATCTCAAGAGCCGAGGTTCGTCTCAGAAATTACAGCTTCGTTGACGACCCCTGAGGAGAATGCCCTTAAGATGTCTGGGGGGTTGGAGGAGGAGGAGGATGGGAAGAATTGCTACAACGCAGAGGATAAAAATGAAGCGGAAAATGTGACCGAGAAAGAAGGGACTACAGCTGCTGGCGGAGCTGAAGGTGGCAAAGATGAGAGTCATTTCAATGGCAACCGTTGCTTTGAGGAGGTGATGGTCGGAAAACTGGTTGTAGACTTAGGTCGAAGAAACAAGGTTGAGGAAAAAGAGAAGGAGCTGGCTAACGAGGGGACTATTAAAAGATTGCACAACACAAGAAATCATAATGCCGTGCATGTGACAAAATTTTTTCCAGGCTGAAACTAGGTCTGGTAGGGCATGTCCTACAAAGAACTTCAAATGGGTTTACAAGAGAAAAGGTGCGAAAGGAAATACGATAGCTGAGTGTGTTCAAAAGGGGTCTACAGCGCAGGATCAATCATCGGAATCCCACCTAGGGAAGGAGCAACTAGTTAACAAGGCGTGTGCTGATGGTCCTGATCCGGGAGAGAATTTGCTCTTACAAACTAGTGACAAGGACGTTGATTCAGGCAGTGGGACTCTTCAGAAATTAGTGGGAGAAGTCACAATTGGAAAAAAGCCTGGGCTTATTTTTTGGGGGTGGTGAGGAATTTACCAAAAAGGCTTTCGAGGAGGTCGAGAAGAAAAAGAGAGATGAGAAGCTGAATAAAAAAGCTCATTTGGAAGGAGGAAAGGTATGGGACGAGGAGGATACTGGGCAAGAAGGCAATCTCGTAGACGAAGAGTGAGGCTTTGTTTTTGTGCTAAGTTGAAGCGTAGTTGGTCCAAGGGTCTGGCGACAAGGGACTTCCTTGTCTTTCCTGGGGATGATTGTTGTTCTCTGGTAGAGTTTGGCTTTGGTTTATTGTGATTGTGGTTGTGATCTGGGTTTGTTTTATCACTGTAGGGGTGTTTGGTTATGTCTCTCTCTTGGGTGATATCTTATCACCTTTCTTTTGTATTCCTTTTTCTTTTTATTGAATTTTTTTATCTTTCAAAAAAAAAAAAGATAGCCTAGTAGAGACGGAGGTGGTGGTAGGCAGAACACTTGGACTTTTCTGCGGGGGAGGATGGGGATTTGCTAGGAAGGCATTTGAGCATTTTGAGAAGAGGAAAAGGGAGGGGAGAGATCAGAAAAATTGGTGGAGGGAGGTGAAATTTGGGATGGAGGGGAGGCTTAGGATGAAACCTTTGAAGGGGAAGACTGAAGAGGAGGTGGGAGTAAAAAAATAAAAAAAGAAAATAAAAGAAAATGATGAAGATGAAGGAGAGAGGGGGGGGGGAGATGAAAATACTTTCCTGGATGGTCAGAGGTTCAAGGGAAGATCGAAGGTGGGTGGTAGTAAGAAACTTGATCAGAAAATATAAGCCAGAGGTGTGATGCTTCAAGTTTCAAAGTTGGATTGCTTTGATGTGAGAGGAAAATATGAAATTTGGGGTTTGAGTTGTGGGGAATGGGTGGTACTGAATGCAGTAGGTCTTTCTGGAGGATTAGTGACAATTTGGGAGCCTAGTGTGGTTTTGAATGTAGGAAGAAGGTGGGGAAATTCTTGGTTTCAGTCTGCTTCAAGGTGGGAGATTGAGAAGATTGTGACAACCATCAGAAAATCTGTTGCAGATTGGGTGCTCATCTTTCCTGAGTTTGATATGTTTGTTGATCAGATCTAGGGGCTATCTGTTGGTATGTTCTTGAATTACAAAATGATAATTCTGAATTTTTTTTTTTTTTTGTAATTTTATGCCTTGGTGTTTCCTCAACACTCGAGTGATTGTAATATTTTTTTTTTTTATTTTCAATGAATCTTTCTTTTACCATAAAAAATATAGAATATTCTATTCTATATTATATATGCCTCTGGTAATAGTCCATCTCTTATGTTTAATATATTGATAAGTGGGCATCTCTTTTCATTCCATTCCCTGGATTTAGGATTATTTTCAATGTTCATTGTCTATCTATTTGCAGGGCCTCAAGCTTGGTATTGGTGCTGATGGCGGTTCTTCATCAGCTGCTGAAGCTCCACAGCTGAAGTCATGTATCAGTAGATCCTTCCAGGTTACTGATGTAAGTTCTTCCTTATTTCATTCTTGCTTCTATCATGTTTTTGTTTAAATCTGAACATGTGTTATTATTTCGTGGTTGTTTTCTTTCATATGCTTAAAGAAGTCCAATTTAGACTAGCTGAGAATAATAGCAGTTACTGAGGGTTTTCGGTTATCATAGTGTTGCTTAAATTGTTCCATGGAACTATGGAAGCTCAAATATTTTGTGTTTAAAAGTGTAAGGCCTTATTCCACATGAGTTTTATATGCATGCAGAAACGCTATCTACTCTATTATGCTCCAATATTTACTAAAGTTTATGTATGCAAAAGGTTATCTACACTATTTTATTGGATAAGGCCTTTCCCACACCCTTAACCCTTTTAGGCCTCCATAAGCTCTTTCAAAACCTTTTTAGTATCTGTTTATCTAGGCTTCTATTACTCAATACAAATGGGAATGGGAAGTTGTGGCAAAAAAAGGGAATGAAAAGCTAACATGTATGGGATTCTCTATTTTTGCCTCAAACTGTTGTGTGTGTGTGTGTTTATTGTAAAAGGGACCAAAGGTTTTGTATTGGAATTACATGATATGCGGTGGTTTGACCAAAGGTTTTGTATTGGCATTACATGATATGCGGTAGTTTTAGGTGACCCGATAATAGATCTTTAAGTTTTAGTTTTCTAATTGGTATTTGTGACTATCACACTTGCAGGATGAGAGTGCGGTAAACAAGGCCCCACATTTCTGATTTGGAGTAAATTGGCCGGTGAGCTTTCTGTTTGGCATCCATTCCCCGATTTATCACTGCCACCCCCCAACCATATTGGGCGAGATAATGTACAGAAGTGGGCTTTGTACAGTCACCCAATTTTAGCCATTCTTTTTCCATGTTGAAAAGCATTGATCTACAAGTCCAAATATGATAGAGAGATTAGGGAACCACCGCTTCTGTTTATTCTGGAAGAACTATGCTAATACCGAAGGTTTATGCGTAATGATGGTAGATTGTTTCACTCTTTTAATAAAATGGGCCTCACATGCAGCAGCTTAACTTCACATTGTTTGGAGCATTTCTCTCTGAACAAGCTTCATCTTCTGGCCTCAAAATATGTTAATATTATATTGGAATGAACTGCATTCACAAACCTCGGAAGCTCCTGTATGGCACACCTGACTGAGCATATCACATCTCAGATCTGTATGGACGTTCAAAAAGAGAGGGAGAGACAGAGAGGTTCATCAGGTCATTTAAATTGTTGACACCCGCTTATGATTTCATTTTCGGTCCACGTAGAACGTCAGAATAAGAAATTAGTTTCTCCCCGAATAAAAAATCATTGTAATGCTAAATCAGTTCAGTGATCAGAACGAATTATTTCTTTTTCTTTTTTATTGATAGCAGAGAATGAGACGTCGATTCCTATGTTGTGTTTACCTGCTCCAATTCCAATCAAGGAGACACGTTATTTTTAGTCCTGTTGATTTGTGACTACATTTGGTGTTGCATAAGTCAGTACTTGTTCAGTTTGATGATAGAGATGATGGGTGGTCGTTCGAAGGCTTTAAAAAGTCCCTACCAGTAACAGTAATAAAAATGAAAACATTCTAATAAACCGAAAGCAAGGGAGAATGACGGTTAAGCCCAGGGTCAGAATTTGTAGGTAAAGTACATTTGGGTAGGTGTCAGTTCGGAATTAATGTCAATTCGCGGGTGAATATTGGTGTATAGAATGTTGTTTTTTGGCATTTTGAATGTTTACAAGCCTACAGTGGAAATCAGAAATTTGTATTGGGCCTCTCTGTATTTCTCTTAAGCAATTTTCAAATTGGTTATATTACATGACATCTTTGTTTTCCCAAAGAAAAAAGGGAGAATGACCGATCAACCCAAGGTCAGAATTTATAGGCTTAAAGTACTATCGGGGTGGGTGCCAGCTCGGAATTGATGCCAATTCACGGGTGGGCGTTGATGCATAGAGTGTGGGTTGTGGTCCTTTGAATGTTTAGCTCTGCAGCATAAATCAGAAATCTGCATTGGACAAATCTGTACTTCTAAGATTTATACTGGTTTTTGTTGGCAGGCCGCAAAGGGACACATGAATTTAGTTGACATGGTAAAACCCCTGCACTAGAAAACATCAATCACCATTTTTTTTTCTCTTTTTAAAGATTCCATTTATTAACTTTTGAAAGAACTAGTTGTTACTAGTCCTTTCCAGGTTTCCACCCACCATCCATATTCGGTTGGGTTTGGGTATAACCTTGCTCACCACCAAATTTACAAAAACAAAAACATGGATACACACTATATGCTGAGATGCATGTAAACATTATATTCATGTATGTGTTTGGTTCCATTTATGTTTATTGAATAAACATTTGTGCTGGTAAGATAAAAAAAAGGTAATCATTACAATTATTTATGACAACTAAGCACCACTAAGCTCCACATCAGCGTAACAGAATAAATGTTTGATCGTTTGTAGAAGCTTTAAAAAATAATTTCTTCAAACAGTTGGCATACACAAAAACTGAAATCCACTTTTGTCATTTTCGATGTGTATGGAAAAGCAAGAGAGAGAAGCTGCTGAAGTGGTGCCTATATGGCAGCATTTATTGAATAAATGCCCACAGAACCAAACATCCTTCATATCACAGTAATGGGACTTAAGAGTTGGGACAGGACAGATTGCAGAGTGCACATAAGGTACATTAGCCATACCATACAAAGCCTAGCCTGCAGTGTCATTGGGTTGATCCCACGTCTCTTCTTTTGGGTTTAGAACCTTTAGTTCCACTTAATATTTTTCAACCATATCCCCTAACCCTAACCCTAATGGCCGAATCCGGTTTTCGACCCAACAAATGCCTATTTTTTCTTGGTTGGGTTGGTCTGGGACTGACATAAGCAAGATAGTGATGACCCTACAACTCATTAGGCAAGAACTCTATTATTTATGTCTACCCACAAAACACTACCTCCATGCATTGGAAATATCTTCCCATGCATAACCTTTAATTCTAATAAAAGAGTGAATAGCCCCATTTTCAAGACTTTTCATTAGACATTTTTACCCTTTATTTAAGTAACATACAACAAACATAAAAAGGGTATATATGTTCTTTACTTTCACTTAAAAAACTGACCACTTATAACAGTTTAAAAACTGTCCACTTATAACAGTTAAGAAACTGCCCACTTATAATTGTTCAAGAACTGTCCATAAATTATAAATAATTGTCTTGAAAACGTGCAAATGCATGTACATATTTACTAGTAACATATAAAAATATGAGATATTCTCCATATATAATTGCGATGTTATATAGGTAAGTGTGAATAGAGTTATCGTGGATAGAAAATCCGGACTCGTCATCAAATTCTTTTTCTTTGCTTTGCGCCCAGTATACACAAAAATAGGTGGATTTTATTTTCTATGGGCAAACAGCAAACGTGGTAAGGATGAGGAGGATTTGGAGAGGTAAGTTGTAAGACCAATTCAGGAGCCACCACTGAACTGACCACGTCTCTGTTGCCCCTTCTGATGCGTAAAGATATACTTTGGTGACTTTTGCAGTCGAAAATCACGCTGCTTCCATTAGTGGTAAGGCCTCCATCCTGAGTTCCTGTTCCTCTCCGCATTTACACGTTGACTATGCATGTAATGTAATGCATATTTATAACACACGTTCACAGCCTACTACCGTTTATCTATCGGCGGAATGGGCCTTCGTTAATACGACTACGACGTGGCCTTCACTTCCCGCAAGAAAAAGATGTATTCATACGTGAAATCTTTTTTTTTTTTTTTTTGTGTGTGTGTGTGAACAGGAAGAACCAGACAGAGGAAGGCTTGAAAAAAATGGAGGCTCCAGCTAAAGTTATATTATCGTTGGGGAAAATCTCGCTGTTAAGGTTCTATGAAGCGTTGTTGGTTGTTAACCTAAACATGACGCCCAGTTGTTCGTTCTCTCTCTCTCTATATATATATATATAGTGGAAAGAAGTTGGTACACATGCAATGAAATATAACTATAAATTCCATAAATTTAAATTTTCTTTATTTATCAAAAATAAATTCTATTTAAATATGAAAGTAGAATTAATAAAAAAAACTAATTTTTAAATTTAATAATTTTAAAATAAAAAATAACAAAGACCACCCAACCTAAAAATAGTGCATGAATTGGACATGGACTGACTTAATCCAACTGGATGAATCTAGATCTACCGATCAGAACACATTGTTTGCCAGGTTTACATAGCCACATGTCTGGAATAAAGAGGATGTAAAGTACAACCAATGCTCCATATGTGCATCTAGATTAACATGACCAATAATATATTGTGATTAGCATATCTGAATTCCAATTAAATATGTCAGAGCTCCTTTGGCTTTACCTTTGCTTGATAATGTTCTTAGTCCCAACTAGTGTATATATATATATATATATATATATAATAATTATTCATCTTGGATGTGATGCTCTCATCAAGAGTTGGATGATATCTTTACTTTTGAATGAAAAAATTGATTGTGAAGCCAAAACACTTTTGGCATTAAGGGGGTATTCTTTTTTTTTTATTTGGATTTTGAGAGGGGGAAAGCTGGTTAATGGGATTTTGATTCTCATAGACAAAAAATCATATATTCTTTTTTTAGATTTATATGGGATCAGAGAAAGTTTATTTTCTTGGGTATCACTTACGATACCCATCTCTAAGTGGATAAATAACTTTTCTACATTGAGGGAAAGTTGCCAACACTTGAAAGGGACAAAAATACTCATTGTAATAATGGATTTTTATGAATAAAATAATCATTACCTTATTTACATGAGAAATAAAAGAACATGAATAAATGCACTTATCCAGGTAAATCTTTTCTGTAAAACAATTACCTAGATAAGTACATTTACCCAAATAAATAATTTACCAAAATGCAAAGTGGGCCAAAATAAAAAACCTGATCTAGTGAGCTTTGGAATTATGCTCGATGTATTTTAATAAGACTGCCATTAATTCTTCCCTGGCTCTTTTTATATAATACCCAGTCTTGAATGATTCAATGATTATTTGCACACCGAAGTGAGAGAGAGAGAGGAACCAACAATTCATATGGGCGAAATTGTAACTTTGGAAACAGCTAGGCTAATAGTTAATTCACCACACAATAAATTTATTTTTTAGTTTTATTTACACATTAAAAGGAAAGCTATTAGATATAGGATGGGTAGACTCTCCTGAAAATTGGGAATAAGCAGACTGTCCATTTGTTTTGTAGCCCACTCTTTTACTTCCAAGGAGGATGAAATAGAGGGGGCAAATGGGTCAGCGGCATTGTTGTCATATAAAATGCCACGTGGCAAATCAAGTCAGTTGGACTGGAGGATCAACTTCCAACTTCCAACTCCAAATAGACCTCTTCCCAATTTTTAGGGAAATCTGCCCACCTGTTCCACAGCAAATTTCTGTCTAAAGAAGGATTTTCTTTTTTATCTGCCACGTGGACATGAAACTAGCCACGTTATAATAAGATTGACTCACCTGATGGTTTCACGCCATAGAGAGAGAAAGAGAAGAGAGAGAGAGAGTACTAAACATAAATAAATAAGAAGAAATTAAAATGGAGGAAATAGGACAGGGGAGAAAAGACAGGGGAGAAAGGAATACGCGCTTGGCATTTCTTTCTCTGCAACTTCCTTTTCTTCCCCTGTATCCACAGAATCAAAGCAAAACCCCCAAGGTTTTCATCCAAAGGTTAAAATTGCCACCTGGTAAATTTTCAACCTTAACCTTTCAAATTACAGAATACTCAAAACTTTATGTTATTTGATTTTCTTTCTTTTATTTTTCTTTAATTAAGTTGTGTGTCAACTTAAAAAGGTCGTGGTTCTTAATCTCTGTTCCAAATTCTTCTATTATTTTGATTGCTGATTCATTTAATCTTTTGGCTACATATTCTCGGTGTATAGTTTTTTTCCCCAAGATCTCCTTTTGCTTCTCTGCAGCTTCTGTTGGATTTGGTGCTGCTGAAGGAAGGTTTTGATTTTGATTTGTGGATTCGATCTCTGAAGTTGCGATTTCCATTGGGTCTTCCCTTGATTACCCATCTACCTGAAAAATCAGCTTCTTTGTTTGGTAGGAAAGTTCTTCCCCTACCCCCTCCTGCATGCAAGAAAACTTAAAATAAAAAAAAAAAAAAAACGTTTTGTCACTTTGATTAATGTCGATGAAAAGAACGCATTTCATTTTCCTGAGACTCTGGTGACTTGAAATCACAAAAAAAGTTTATTATTTTTTTTTGTTTTAGATATTTCTTTTGTTTTGTCTTTTTTTTTCCCCATTTTTGTTGAGTGTCGTATATCTGATTTTTTTTTGGTTCATTTGTTTGATGGGTTGCTATTTTTTTCTGTCTATCGATCATAAACATTTTTGTCTTGGCTTACTAATTTTTTGAGTGATCTTTAAATGGATGCTTCATATTCTGTTTTTCTTAAACATGAAGAGAAGATAAAAATGGGAGGTAGTTGAAATTTGCAGGGACCTGCTTTTCTTCCATGTGTGATGTATGATGTTGATCTGAACATTTCTTTCTTTTGTTCAAGTTGCAGAGAAAAGGGAAATATGGGGGATGCTTTGGTTTCTAGGTATTGGTGTTATGTGTGTTCTCAGGTGGTGAACCCCATCATGGAAGTTGAGATCAAATGCCCGTTCTGCCAAAGTGGGTTTGTGGAAGAAATGGATAATAGTACAGGAGGAGAGCAGGACAATCACGATGATCTGGGATCCGATCGAGCTCTTTCTCTTTGGGTTCCAATTTTGCTTGGGATGATGGGTAGTATTCGTCGCCGGAGATACAGAAGAGAAGAGGGTGATGCCCAACAGGGAGAATCTGAACAAGAGCGGGAGCTCGAATCAATTCTGAGGAGGAGAAGCTCAGCTGCCTTTCTTAACTTTCTTGGTCTTCGTGCTGGTATTGCACCCGAAATGGAAAATTCTGAGAGTGAGAGGGAGAGGGAGAGGGAGAGTGAGCGTGTAATCCTGATCAATCCTTTCAACCAGGCCATAATTCTTCAAGGCTCATACAACATGAATCAAAACGAAAACCAGGGTCATAATGCTCCCAGTTCATTGGGGGACTACTTTGGACCTGGTTTGGATTTATTGCTACAGCATTTGGCAGAGAATGATCCTAACAGATATGGAACCCCGCCGGCACAGAAAGAAGCAGTGGAAGCAATGCCAACTGTGAAAATCACAGAAAGCTCACAGTGTTCTGTATGTTTAGATGATTTAGAGATTGGAGCTGAAGCGAAGGAGATGCCCTGTAAACATAAATTCCATAGTGGCTGTATTCTTCCCTGGTTGGAGCTTCATAGTTCTTGTCCAGTTTGTAGATTTCAGATTCCCGCTGATGAATCCAAGATGGCTCCAGATGGTTCTGGCACTAGTGAATATAGGGCTGAAAATGGTGGTATAGGTATTGGTGGTGCTCTTGGTGCTGGTGGACAGGGAAGTGAAGATAGTAGTGGGGGAAATGGAAATGGAAGAAGGTTACTGGTTCCTATTCCATGGCCTCTAAATGAGTTGCTTTCTGTCTCAGGATCACAAGGTGGTAATAATTTTTCTTCACAATCATCTCCATCTTCTGCAGCAGGAAATGCTTCTCATACAGATGAAAATTGAAGATATTCATGTAGCATCCACCTCTTTCCTTTTTAACTTATTTGGTTTTCTATTTTTTTTTTTTTTTTCCTTTCTGTATATAGCCGGATAGCCCGCCCTTTGTTTTTTACCTTTTGAGTGAATTTCAGTTTGCGGAAGCTGGCTATCTTCTCTGTTGTTAATTTTCTGAAGATCTTGATGCCACTGTAATGACTTGCTCTATTATTTCCTTTGTATATGTGTATTATCTCCCTGTCTATTGTGTTGGAGAGCTATATTAACAACTCTGTTTTATTGTTTGTGTTTTCTGCTACCTTGAAGGGATGAGATTTGGGTATGGATGTCCTATCTGGTTGTCTGTACTTGGAACAGAACAGGAAATTATGCCATTTGAATTGGATTTATTGACCGTAGCCCATGGCTTCTTAATGGAAGCATTCAAAAATAAAAAATGGTTTTGTTGGTAAGTGGAAGATGTTGAAGGGGTTAAGCAAGTCAAGAAAAAAAAAAGAAAAAGGCATGTAAGCATTCATATAAATTGGCCTTGAATCTGTCTCCCGCAGTTTGCAATTCAGTCTAAGGATGAAATTCTTTCTACGGATCAACATATCACAAATGCCAACCATGAAAATTATAGAGAATTTACATTCTCTGCTGGCTTGACTTAAAAGTCTTTATTCTATTATTCTGAATGTGTGTTTCAGCTTTTCTGAATTTTGGTATGGAACATGAAATTGAGCCATTTGAGTAGGACCAATTCTGAGTTTTGGGAATAGAGCAGCCCAACGGAGGATGCTAGGTCGATTGATGAATAAGAACTAAGACTGTTTGGTTCCAGGAGTTCGGGATCTGAATGTGTTATTTCTAAGGATTAAAGTATTGGTATCGGGTATCGTATCAGACAAGTCGAATACAGATATACTTTGGAAACACATAGATACGAGAAAAAAAATATAGAAACACTTGAATACGATAGGAAAATGTATACAAATCACATAAATACATTAATAATACTAAACCAAAAGCTGAATAATCTATGAATAAGATATAAATACATAAGAAATGCATACTTCAATAGGTTATATGAAGATGAATATTACAATAAACAATACTGGGATTCTATAACATTCAAACATCATACAATAATTATCACTTTTTATTTTTTATAATTATGAATTTCAAATTTTATTATTTTTCAGGAATATTAATTAATTTAGTACTTTTACTTAAATAACAACTCTTTTTTAAATAATAAATATGTTTTCATTTTTAACATATAATGCTTTTATTTTACATATAATTGTAAAATGAAAGAAATAAATAAATCATTTAAGGTAGATAAAATAAATTATTTATAATTTTCAGTTTTTATTAAATTTTTTGGGAAATTAAATCTTAAATTATTCATTTTATTTTTTATAATTATAATTTTCTGTTTTCCATTAATTTTGTTGGGAAAATCTATTTATTCAGTATTTTATATAATAACTCTATTTTTTCAAATAATAACCATGTTTTCATTTTTAACATATAATTATGTGTAAAATAAAACATATAAATCATCTAAGGTAGATGAAATATATTATTTTTATAATTTTTAGTTTTTGTTAAATTTTTTGAAAAAATTAAATCTAAAATTATTTATTTTAGTTTTCATAATACTATTTTTTTAATTTTTATTAAAGATGAAAAACAGTCCAAAAGTAGTCAATATACAATTTTGTCAAACTAGGCACAGATACGCCTTTGTATCGAATCCTATCCACTGATATGGTGCGATACAACCCGATACGAAGGCGTACCATTTTGATATGCATGACTCGTGAGATACGTATCTGTCATGGATATGGATACAATACGCCCCATATCGAGAGTACGATATCAATACCTTAATCCTTGGTTATTCTAATTCCAATTGTTTGGTTAGGTGGAATCGGAACCCCATTCCCCCATTTGAGGGAATGACCATTCCCTACCCCTCCCTTAGGGTCCGTTTGGTTTGTAGTTGGAATTGGAATCGGAGTAGTCTATTCCCATAGTCTGTTTGGTTCAGATAAGAATGGGAATGAGAATTGGAATCAACAGGAATAGGATTTCGTTCCCAAGGGAGGGGCCGAGAATGGCCATTCCTTCAAATGGGGGAATGTCATTCCAGTAGGAATGGAAATGGGATTCCGGTTCCACTCAACCAAACAGTTGGAATCGGAAATGACCCATTCCGATTCCGATTCCAAACCCCTACTCCCATGAACCAAATGGGGCCTAAAGTTAAACAACTTGATTTACCAATGAGTTTATCCGGGGATTTTCATCGATTAAAACGATCGAGTAAGAGGGTATTTGATTCCGTTGTCATTTATATGAAAAACGGAACCAACTCATTGCCACATAGACATTTATTCTGAAATTCTGTTTGATAAATCGTTTGTCAAACAAATGTTTCGTCTCAATTTGTGTCAAAACCAATTGTTTGGAGAAGCTTCTTTTTAACGTTTCTCCCAACAGCCTACCTGTCAAACAACATAAAAAAAATTTAGGGAAAAGTACTCTACAATTCACTACAGAATTCTGAATTACAGCCCCCATAGTATACTAGTAGCCCCCCCCCCCCCTATAAACTGTATCCTGCCCGTAGATTTAGCATCAACCCATGGTCAAGATTCATCCCTTGTATGATGGGGCTAAAGAATTCTGAGATGGGCTGATCAATCATTCATTGAAATCATCCAGATCAGATGACCACAGTACCAAAACAGCCTCTAAGTTTTTTGGTTTGATGACCTTATTGTTGTGTTGAAAGAATTTTGAGCCATGCAATTACCCTTTTGATTTTGGGCATTGAAATCATCCAGATCAGATGCTATTAAACATGTCCAAAGGCTAATGGTCACAGGGACCTGGCTTTATAGATGGAAAAGCTACAAAGAACTACCCTGGCCTGTACTTTGGGGAGTATCAACACTTAAAAAGGCCCAACTTTCATTTGTGGGATAGTTATCCTGTACTTTCAGATTCCAACACTCAAGTTCAGCCATTATCTTGGCACACAATGCCATGTGCATACTTAAATATTTAAAATCTCAAAAATATCCTTACATAATTTTTTAGACCATTTTGCCCTTCCTTCATTGAATCTCTAAAGCCATAATTCTTAACATTTTCTGTCTTCTTTCTCACACTTGAACAAATAGAGTCCTGATGAATCAATTTACAGGTAATGCCATAATTGCTTGACTTATTATTAAATTAAATAAAAAAATACATAAAAGTTGTAGAAAATAAATCAGAAAAATCATAAACAAACTAAGAATATATGAAGAATAAAGCATAAAAGGAAAAACTGAAACCATACATCCATAATGGATTTGGACTTGAGTGTTGGAATCTCAAAGTACAAAATAGCTCTCTGTGACAACTGACAAGTGAAAGTTTGGGCCTTTAAGTGTTAGGTACAAGATAAATTACCTGTAACTCATCCTTTTGAATTTTGATGACGACCCTTTTCCTGATATTCATCTCTCTATCATAGAATTGTGGGCACCCTCCAATACCTTCTCATTAAGCATCATTTGGACTTTATAGTTAATAAAGCGTGTTAGATCATGCATAAAGGCCCATTAGGCCTTTTTTGAAAGATCAGGCTTTTGATACAATCATAGTTTTTAAGCCGCCATTTACCTGGTCAGATCATTCGGCCGGAAATCATTCAGGCAATCAGTTCTATTTTACCTCAAATATAGTCCTTGGTAAAAAACCGATAAATTAGCTAATAACTCATTGATCCGTTTAATAGTTTTGGTTGGTTTTTATTTTTAATTATTTTTTTTTAATTTTTGTTGTCAGAATGAGAACGGACTATCCGTTCGAACTGAATGGTCGAACCATCAACCTGAAAATTGATGGTCAGAACGATTCCATTTCCGGGTCATTTTTTAAAACCATGGATACAATTGATTTTAGACTCTGCTTCATACCTTCTGCATGTCTTCTTACTTGTAAATTGTAGTAGGAAAATAAATTTGCATTGCACCTGATTGTCGATCATATTGTAAATTGTACTGCAATAATATATTATTGTTATTTGTATAACAATAATATATTATTGCAAATCTCTCAGTTCAGTGGCCCATGTTTCACTCTTCTTTGTAAAATAGTAGTACATAGGTAGGTAGCCCTACGCCCAAGTGAGACAGGACGTAACAGATAAGAGAAGCTCACACACAGAAATAGAAACCTTTCAAAATTAAAATTTTGTATTCTGCCTGTTTCTGTAACCACTCTTGTGAACTGATTAATGTGTGGTGGGTGTGGGTATGGGTGTTTTTCTTAACAGACTATGAATTTGGTCTATTCACTGTTGATTCTGTTTTATTTATAAAATGGACAAGGGCATTATTAAAAGACATAAGGACAAGTGGATAACTCCCTAAAATGCTGTTGTTCGATAAGAAGAACAACCCTCGATAATACTAAAGTTGTTAGGTCTAGTCATCAAACCTATTAATTGTCACTTTCCATCCAATGTTTTTAAAATCGGACCAGATTGGACAGTAGAACCGAAAAAATTGGGAATTGGTCATTTGACTGATTTTGTTTTACCTCAAGACTATTGATTCGGTCAGTAAATCATTGACTCAGGTGGTTGAACTATTGAATTATTCGACTTGAGAACGATTTTTGGTCATTTTTTGTCAGAATGGACCATCCATTTAGACCAAATAATCAGACCGTTCAACCCAGAACTATTCCCTATCTGATCTAATTTTAAAAACCTTATTTCCACCTGATGTCAGCTTCTTCTTTCTTTCTTTCTTTCTTTCTCTTTTTTGTCAAAGAGCATTCATACAATGGACAATGAATCTCTTCAGTCTTCAATGAATGAGAAGTGCTCTGTGCATTAGAATCGGTACAATACAAACACGCAACCACTGGTACAAGAGTGGCTTTCAATTTCAATGCACGAGACACAATAAATGTCTTTTTTTTCTGAATTTAATCTTTGCTAAAGTAAGGAGAGAGAAATCTCCAAGAACTATTCAAATCAAGGTGCAGATTGAACGGCTAAGGAAGCTCTATCTCATCCGAACGAGTCTATCTCTCTAATGTTAATATTCCAAGGGATTTACTTTCTATCTGCAGGGTGATTTGTGGGGTCAAGTTGCCCGAAATTATAATAATTAATGAGACCAAATTCAAATATACACCAGTTTAATCCATTAATTTTTATATTCCTATATTAGTATTAAAAACATAAGTATTGTTATCTTATTCTTATTAATTTTGTAGTAACAAAAAATCTTAGTTTAAGTAGATGGTATATGTTAATGATGCTTTGTTGTGTAAGGTGGGGTGAAGAATTCTTACAAAGGAGGATTGTGATTATTAGGGGTATGGGGGGAAGGGATCCATGGATTCCTGAAGTAGATGAATTTACACTCGCTAATTCAATTCTCTAAGAAATGAGAATTTGGGTGTGGAACTTGTAAGTGAACTGCTTACACACTCTCGAGAGTGGAATGAAAACCTGTTAGAAGCTCTCTTTCCTAATGATATTCAGGTGGCAATCAAAAAGGTTGGCGTTTCTAGACTGACTACGCAGGGGGGTGAGTGGCTTTGGGTGAAGGAATGAGGTGGGCAATTCACTGTTAAATCTTGCTACACCATGTTAGCAAGGTTCAAAATATCAATACAGCCCAATATGCCGATAGGGGTGTATCAGGCTGTATCGGCCTTTGCTCTCTCCCCTTTTTTTAGTTATTTTTGTGAACCTAGTTCAGAGGGATCGGTCTAAAACCCTTCTACCCCCTGAACCGGGTTAAACCCCGAAACACCTCCTGTAGGGGCGTATTAAGAGGCTTCCGATATAATACGTATCGGATGATGCAAAGTTTTCTAGAATTGCGGGAGCGGGCCTTTTGGATGAAATTTTGGAAAGCTAAAATCTATCCTTGTGTGCATCTGTTTCTTTGGAAATTATTGCAAGGAGTGGTGTTTACCAAGAATAGATGGTGGGTGATTATGTGGATCGGCGTTGTGTCTTTTGTAATGGAGATATAGAGATATAGAAAGTGGAGCATTTGTTCTTATCTTATGCTTTTTCTAAAGTTGTGTGGTTTGGAGTGATAGGCTGGCATTCTGATACTACTTGCGATGATTCAGTGTGCTCTTGGCTGAAAAACTTTATTATATCTACTAACTATAAGGATCAAACTGGAGTTCATTTGCTGCAAGTACGTGCACTGGTGCTTTGGACAATTTGGCTGACAAGGAACGAGTGCCAATTCAAAGGAAAAGAAGTTCAACCTATGGAGTTTGTGGAACAAATTCGGAAATCTATGCATGACTTAAGTTTTGGGGTGCACCTATTGTAACAAACCCGGTTGATGTGTAATGTCATCCGCGAACGGAGAATAGTAGATGTCTATATCTGGTTTGATAGTGCTTTTCATTTGGGACTTGGTGTAGGTACATAATGTTCACTAAAACCATAAGAGAACAGAGGATGTCAAATCAATACTATTTGGATGCTTGTGATGAATTCACAATTCATCGGACGTTTGTACATCTGCAATGAATTCATACCTAAAACAGGTTGCGATGAGAATTGGCCTATGCAGATAAAGGAAGTAGCATATGTAGAAAATCCTTAAGGGAAAAGAAACCCTGCTTTTGAAAGATCTCGCTAGACACGTAACGAAACCCCAATGACGCTCTCTTAATAGTCAACATAAATAAAAGTCATTCTCCTTATAGCCTTGGCTTTTCTCTTTATGAAGTCATTTTCCTTTAAAGTCTTGGATTTTCTCTCTATAAAAGGGGAGAATAACTCTTCCCTAAGGGAGAGAGATATAAGATAATCTTGACCTAGGGTTTCTCATAAAAGGACTCTCCCTTCTTCCCTCTTTTCTTCTCTCTTTCCTATGTTCTCTCTCTTTTCCATCGCCTTCTCCGAACCTTCGGAGACTTGACCAACCTCCGTAATCTTACCTTGACACCAACACTTAGAGTAGCGGCTTGTGTAGCCATTGATAACCAATTTCTCATTGCACGAGCTTGTTCTATCAAAGCGATGGATGCATAAACAACAAAAATGCAAGCTTTACTTTTGGCAGTGGAGACAGCAGCCGATTATTATGGGAGAGGATTCAAATCAAGGGTGATTACACACATGCAAGGTTCCAAGTCAACAGTACCATGGAGATAGAGGCATATATTGAGCGATGCAAAGACTATTGCTGACTCGCATTGCCTATTGTCTTTTTCCCATGTTGGTCGGACCGTTCAACCCAGTAACCGGACTCTGACCGATTCAGTCACGGGTCGGTTTTAAAAACCATGGGTCATTCATAATTTATTAGAGTAGAATTAGAAGTTGGGGGTGAAATGAAAAACATTTTTTTACTTGTTTGAGAAGTTGAATCAATCTATAATTGACTATATATATATATATATATAATGAAAGTCAATTTTAATCAAAATAACTAAAAAATCAAACCAAAAATTTTAATTTGGTTATTTCAATTAACTTAATTCGATGTCAGTTGATTTTCCTAAACTGAATGCTCACCCACACCTAACTGAGGAAGGCAATGTTCCCTTTCCCTCTTCGATGCGTCACACATCAACCTATACCAAAGCCTAAGTGCACTTTGGTTACTTGCATATTGTTCTATTATAACCTTAGCTCAGAAGCTTTATTAGCCAAAAACAAAGGATAATAATAGCAACCCTCATGCAGGAGTAGGCCTGTAAACGGTATCTGCAAATTCGTTTCTACTTAAATGAATCAAATTCGGATATTCGAATCAAATAAATAGTCGAATTCGAATTTAATTGTTATATCGATTATTTAATCGAATCGAATTTGAATTTAAATTGATTCAATCTGATATATATCTAAACCGATTATAATTATATATTATTAATATATTATATAAATTTGCATGCATAACCCCATTATATCTTTGTTTCTTTAAGGGTGGGTATAAAGGTAAAACCATTTTTCCCTAAACATTTTTCAACAAATCTTCTCTATCATTCAAAAATCTGGCGCATCCTCCAACAAATCCCCTTCCCCAAAAAATCATTAAAAACTGTCCAAGAAATCTCCTTTCTCATTTGAAAATCCAACTCTAAACCTAAGACCGGAAGTCCCTAACCCTCATCGTTGCCTTCTTCTGTACTTCTCTTAATGGCAACCGGAGTTGAGAAATCTTGCTGTTCCAACATTCCTTGACAAAGTTTAATGCTAATATCTTTGTAGAGGCAAAATGGTGAATGAACAAGTTGGAGAAACCTCTGCTGCTGCAACATTCTTCACAAAATTTAGTATTATTAGCAGCTTTTCAGCAAAGATCGATGTCTACATTGAGGTCGTTTTTGTCTAAGATGCGGTTGTTGTCGACGACTTGGCATGGGTGACGAAGAGCATTAGCAGCAATGGGTGACGATCCGTTTACACCCCTATGCAGGAGACAGGAAAATTAACATTTAGAGAGAGAGAGAGAGAGTTAATAAAACAATTGTCCAAGAGACAGACAACAGTCTAATAATTTGAGCAACAGACATATGAAGGTTGTCCACCTTATACCTAACCAAGAACAAAACTTGGTACAAAATTTTTTGATGAGTAAACTTTGCTACAAAACTGTGCTGCCGCCACATTAAAAGTATCGATAACTCTGTTTCCAAGTTTCCCGCAGAATAACTAATACCTTGACTCTAGAGAATGAATGAACAAGCCAGGAAAATTACCACAAGCATTCCACACATGCCCAAAAAGAAGACATCAATCACCAAAATCATCATTTAATGTAAGCACTGCCAGCCATTAAACTGCAACTAACACTCCTCTCTTTCAGTATCCATAACAAACTGGCTCCTCAGATGATCATCACTTCACTGTCAAAATCTTGATAACAGATGCAGTTCCAACTCGATGCAGTGCAACAACTGCATCCCCGGGCTTGCAGAGTCCCTTCTCTTTTCCATGTTGAAGGGCAAACTCTAGTGCTTCCTCAGTGGCTTCTGTATGAGAAGCCTTTGCAGATCCTGCTTTTAAAACAGGCACCAACCCTCGAAAAATAAGGCTATGTCTTGCCGGAGCTTCATCACTGCAAAACCAAGTGAAAAAATCCGTCTTTATCTCAGGTACCACCACAGATAAGATTGGCATAGCAGGCCTATATTTGGCCACCAGCTTTGCAGTACTTCCCCCTCTTGTTAGAACCAAGATCAGAGCTGCTTTTGCCGTGTTGGCTGTACGTACTGCAGAGGAAGCCAAGCTCTCTAATGGGCTCATGGGTACTGGTGCAGCTTGCATGATCCGTTTAAAAACTCCCCCATAATCAAGAGAGGACTCTGCTTCTATGCAAATCCTGGACATTGTCTGAACAGCAAGTTCAGGGTAAGCTCCTGCAGCTGTTTCCCCGCTAAGCATTACACAATCTGTGCCATCAATAACTGCATTGGCAACATCAGTGGCTTCAGCTCGAGTAGGACGTGGAGACTTGATCATAGATTCCAACATTTGAGTTGCAGTGACTACAGGTTTTCCCTGTATGTTGCATTTGTAAATCATCACTGTTTGTGCTAGAAATAACTTCTCAATTGGAATTTCCATTTCCAGATCACCTCGTGCCACCATAAATGCATCAGAGTTCACAAGAATGTCATCAAAATTAGCCACCCCTTCTTGATTTTCAACCTGAAAAATCACAATCGAAATAAAAAATTTTAGCATTCTGAACTGGGCTTTCATTAATTGATCATTATCTACAATCCATGTGTTCTATAGCCACAGTGGCAGGGGAAAGTGAGGCGTGGAGAAGGTGCTATATGTAGTGATACTAACAGTAATAATAAGCGAGAGCATATGATCAGCAGGGATTAAAACTTCCTCTATATTTTTCCATGCATAACAAGCTTAGGGCCAGCAACATTAACAGACCTTTGACATGAGAAGGATATTTTTGGCATGCTTCCCAAGCACCTTTCGGACCTCAACAAGGTCTGAACCTTTGCGTACAAAGGATAGAGCAATCATGTCAATCTTATTGGGGACCCCCCACTGTAAGATGTCCTCCTTGTCTTTCTCTGTCAGAGTTGGGAGATCTACAATGACTCCTGGAAGATTGACATTTTTCCTTTCACCAAGAACAGCAGAATTCTCACAGCGGCACTTAACCAAACCCAACTTCCTGTCAGAAGACAGAACAGTGAGTGTAATTGTGCCATCAGAACATAGTATCACACTTCCCGGCTTTAAGTCCTCAGCTAATTTTCTGTAGCTCATGCAAATCATGTTCTCATCACCTTTGATACTATAATCGGTAGAGATGGTTACCTCTTGACCCTTCTTCAGATTAATGGGCTTTCCATCCTTCAAAAACCCAGTTCGAATTTCTGGTCCCTGAAATATTGCAAAGAAAAAGTTTAGGAGATAATGAATTGTAAAAAGGGTTCAATCGTACTGAACATGGTAAAACACAGCAAGTTCAACCTGGGAATCTAGGACAAAGACAACAGGCAACAGCATACTGAAATAAAGCAGACCTTCATCACCTCATACATATAAGCATTATGATGCCTTGATTGAAGCAATATCAATTAAATAAATTGTTGTAAACCTATTATTACAAAAACATGTAAAGTTTAGAGTACTCCTAGAGAACATGAAACAACAAAGCCAATAAAATCCAGATGGCATCCCATCTTTTTAAATCTATGCCTTTTAAAATTTTGCCAACACATCAATGCAACAATGCCATTCCATGATCTCATATTCATTTGTTTAGAAATAAAAACTTGTTTCTTATGAGTCCAATCATCTTCGACGCTTTAATTCTTCCATAAAACATGAAAATTAGAAAATTTTAAAGCCTCTAGGTGTAGGAAAATAAGAACAATATGCTAATGACAATAGCTTTAACCCAAACAAATATGAACAAATTATAGAGATTAATGCTCATATGATGACAGAAAAAGAACCATATAAAATTTTCTAAACAAAACATAAAAGTGCAAGACAACTAGCCTATCTTGCAATCCCACCATCCCAGAAAGTTGAAACAAAAAGAGAACAGAAATGTATACAACAAGAAAAATAGACTTTGGAACAAAATTTTGGTAAATTGCACAAAGGGAGACTAACACAATGAGGAAAGACAAACAACTCCCCCTCCAACAAGAACTACTACGAAAACAAATATTAGAGACCAAAACAATTCAAGAAAAACTACTAAACTTGTGTGAAGTTCAAAATGTACTTAGCAAAGCTAATAAGACCCAAGAGGTTAATCTATGCTGTTAACAAATATTTGTTTCAGAAAATTTTTTAACGGGTTTTCCTTCATAATTTCTATTACCCCATGTTCTTTAGTTCTTCTAGAAAAAACATGGGAATGCAATGGTTGGTAGAAGAATTTTGAAATACATATGGATGAAACAGTGAAACAAAATAGCTGGCCTTAATTAAGTTTCCATACATCAAACAAGCACATAATAAAGATTAGTAAATCATATTAAAAGAACCATATAAACAGAACCGTTAGAAAACATTTAAAAAGAAAGGCAACATAACTAGTCTATGTTGCATCCAAACACTAATGTCATACTCATAAACAATAGAAAAACTTAACACAAAAAATGGAAAACTTGGCAGAGAGATTTTAGTAAATCACATAAAGGGGTAGGGAATACAAGAAGAAAAGGACAAACGAAAGTGACATACCAAGGACAAACCAAAACAAGACAAGAGTAATGGACAACAGAGAAACAATAAAGGCCAAGAGAACAAGGTCAGAATTTCATTTCAAAAATAAAACTTTTTTGGTCCTAGAAGCCACACACTGTCCTCTGAATTCACCACAGGATACTAACCAAAACAAAACACAAGTCATTTTAGGAACTAAAGAAGAGAAGAAGTGAACACATTTATAAATTTTATTTAACTCTTGACATGAATCAGTTCTGCATGATCATTGTTCCTAAAAAGCTGAGGATAACTAGCCACTTGACTCTCTAACACCTACTAAAATCAAATAAAAGAAATACATAACCAGAACAGAGCCAAACTCTGCATCAAAAAAAAAGATTCAGGAACAAAACAAAGCCCAGAACCCAAAAGCAAACAAAGGAAGAAAAATAGCACCCCTAAAACTAACAGAGCATCAAAGCCTAAAACGAACAAACCGCAGCAGAAAACTAAACAAACACCTGCAACGGACCCAGAAACCAAAAACGCGACAGAAAGCAGAAAGAAGCAAAACCCAAATGGAGGAACACAATAATACCTTGGTATCCAGCATGACGGCACAGAGTATCCCAGTGTTCTCCATGGCGGTTCTGAGGTTATCAAGGGTTTCTTGGTGGTAAGCGTGAGAACCGTGAGAGAAGTTGAAGCGTGCAACATTCATGCCCGCTCTCAGCAACTTCTCGATCATAGGCACTGACCTTGAAGCAGGACCTAACGTACAGACAATCTTTGTTTTGGGCCTCCGCCTTCCTTGCATCGCCATTGCGGAGAAAGCTGCGAACAGAGATAGCTTCAAAGAGGAAAAGCCCAAGGAAGAAAAAGAATACCAGAGAAAGGAAATTCCTCTGGAGCTCTGGTGGTTGTGGTGTTTGAATGTGTTTTCGTGTTTTGATGGGATTCAAGGTCTACACGAAATCTGTCGAAGGCGGGACTCCGTCGATTTTCCAGGTTCTGCTGTCGTTTGGTTGGCCTTTGGACCGTTGTTTATAACTTTACATGAAAATAAAGCTAAAGCTGTGGACCTGTGGTCTGAGGCGGCCCCATGTTTCTGTGGCGCCCACAAACTACTCTCAGCTGGGTCCCACAGGGAATTCCAGTTGGCCAGAAACCCATATGTACACAATGGTTCTTGCCCTCATTAGTAGTTTCCGCAAATTGATGTCCAAATCAGATGGTTGAAAGTCAACCTGAGATCTTGAAAAATGAGAAAGGTGGCAAGTTATGGGAGGATTAGACATTAAATAAGACCTGCCTCTCCGGACGCAAAACACCCCCTGTTCATTAAAAGCTTCCTCCCTGGAAAAAGCTAAACAAATCCAAGGACCAAGGTTAGTGAGGTGTGTGATCACTGATCAGTGATCACCCCAGGTCATTAGGTCAAGAGTCAAGAGTCAACACCATTACATTAATGCAGCCCATTGGTTTGGTTTGGCCCATTACTTTCTTCGTTTTGCTTGCTCGGTGGGGTGGGCCCACTTTCAAGTTTCTATGGATTTGTGCTGGATCTCATGAGAGATTTTTTTTTTTTTTGAAGAAATAAAAAGGAAAAAAACAAGAAATCCAGAGAAACGAGAGACAGAGAATCACTACTCCACCATCAAAACCTCTACCTTTACTTAATGAATTCAGAAACTGATAAAATCTGATCTCATGAGAGATTGGGAGAATATACTACGGGAGTCTCACACTTCTGTCATCCACCCACTCTTTCGCAGATTTTTGCATTTATTTGAGCATATTATTATTATTATTATTATACACTACAAACAAAATGCAAATCAGGTAGTGCTGAATTACAGGTTGGTTTTTATTTTTCAATTCAACTGAAAACAGAGAGTCCCACACACATACTGCGGAATGATGCCAAGGCTGCGTGGGACGAGGAATGCGAATCACACTCTATAGACGCAAGGGTAGTAGCAATGACAGATCTCTAATCCTACTTGCAAGAGTTGTTGCATTCCTCCTCGTCTCAGTCTCAGCTAGGTTATTAGCACCATTCACTAATATGTATTGACAGTTTTCATCCAATCCGCCCATTTACTTGAATGGTTAGAAATGGGTTAATCATCCATTGAATCATTTAATGGGTTAAGTCATATTAGAATATGGATAAGCATTAGATTAACCATTAAAGATACAAATATTAATTTCTTAGGAATAAGTAGACTGTAATCCATCTCAGAAATCTGAAATTACAGCCCCCTCCTAGTTTATTATAGCTCCGCCCCCCTATAAATCGCATCCTACCTGTGGATTTGGTATCAATTCACAATCGGGATTCATCCCACCTGTACGGTGGAGCTAAGATTTCTAGGGGTGGACTGAACAATAAAAACCTCAAATTCTTAACCTTTTTTTTATTTTCTTCGTTTAAGTGAAATAATTTATAATTAATACATTAATTTTTTACTAATTATTGACTAAAATTAGTTTGTCTCGAATCAACACACTTCACTCAAATTATATAAATCCAAATCAACTTCACCCGAGTCTAGATCAATTCAGTCCATTTTGAATATAAACAGACCTGATCACCACGGCCCGATTCATTTGGATCGATCAACCCAGCCCAATTCAGACTAAGGCAATTTGGATCTGACCCGACCCTAAGCAACTTGATCCGCTTGCTTTGTCCCCCAGTTCAGATCGACCTGATCCAAATCTGCACAACCTGACCCGAATTTGAACTGGCATGATATGCTTCCCTCGACCCGCTTCAGAGTAATGGGTTCAATCACAAACCCATGCACAGCCCGATATGAGCTGAGTCAAGTCAAACCACCATTAACTAAACCAATCTGATCTGGTCCAACCAAACTGATCCGAATCCAAATGATTCAACCACTCTTGATGTGATTAGCTCGAAGACAAATCTAGTTAAATAGTTCAAGTTAGTCTGACCAATTTGAACCTAAGCGGTTAAATCAAACCCGAAATCCGAACATAGTCAAATGATTTCACCACTTGTGTAAAAATAATACGCATGTTATGTGATTTGAACATTCACCATTTCTATAAATAACAACTACTATTACCACCAAACTATAACCAACTTATTTGTCAAGTAGGAATTAGTTTTTAGTTTTAAGTACATAAATACTAATAAATTTGCATGGCTTAAATTGGATCAATGCGGGTTTGGGTTGAACCCAACCCATTTAATTTTATATAACTCAGTCATTACTCATTAATGGATTGACGGGTTAGATGGATTAGGTTAAAGCTCAACCCAAACCAAACCCAACCCAATCTGCGCAATTGCCACTGCTAAGTGAGAGTACCACCCCATGCAACCATTACTGGCTTGAGAGTTGAAACTGTTTGAATCGGTGTGGATTATACGAACCAATGCTCATTCTATATCTACGGTTCAACCAAAAAAAAAAGCTATATTGAATGAGGAAAGAGAGGATATGAGAGGTCCTCTCACCACAGATCATACATCTCTCCTCTTCCCCTATTTTTCTCACACATGTATATATTTATTTTTAAGTTAAATCATTAAAAACATAATAAATCAAAATTAATTAAACTCTCATGAATCTTTTATTACCTCTCATAAAACCTATATTTACTCTCTAATAATGTCATTCTTAAATCTCCGGAAAATTGTCAAAAACTCACTATGAGTTTGTAACATAACTTCACAACTTTTCAAAATGTCTAAAACTCACCATGTCACTAACTTGATGTTAAAGAGACTAACGGCTGTTAATATATTATCATTTTAACCTTCATAGAAAAATATAAAATATATACATATATTTTAATATTTAGATATGAAAAAAGGAAAAAGTTCAAAAAATATTTTCAAATATAAAATACATAAAAACACAGAAATTGAAAAAATATAAAAAATTATTTTCAAATTATAGAAACTATAGAAATTGAAAAATAAAAATTGTAGAAAAAACACCAAAAATGATAGAAAAACACAGAAATTGCAAATAAATAACAAAAAATACAGGAAATATTAAAGATTGTAAAAAATAGAAAATGTAAAATAAAAGCAAAAATTATTACAAAACATTAGAAATTATAACAAAACACTAAAATGTAAAAAAAAAAAATTGAAAAATGAAAAGACCATTTTCCTCTAACTCGCCATTCAAGGGTGATTTGGTCATAAAAACTGTTATTTATGCTGATGTGGACACCTCTGTTAAGAAACATTAATGGTGCACTAACGGAATGTGAGTTTTGGAAAATAAAAACTTACTGACACGGTGAGTTTTAGACATTTTGAAAAGTTGTGAGTTTAAGAGAAATGCTGAAAACTCATGGTGAGTTTTAGACAACTTCCCTAAATCTCCAATATTTGTAACATTTCCCCTCCCCCACTAAACCTCTCTTCTTTTGGCTCTCTCTAATAAAATAGGGGTGATCAGATAATTGGGGTAAGATAAGGGTCAACCCAAATATAAACCATATCTATCAAAAAAAAAACCCACTTTATGCTGCTTTTCACCCCATGCCCCCACCTTTCCGTCTTCGAGCAACTAGACCTACATGCTCATGGGCCAGGCTCAGGCTTGGCTTCTGCCAAATTTTGAATGGGGCCGACCTGAAGCCCATGGCTTTTGCCAAAATTTTGAATGGGCCCAGCCCAAAGCCCAAACCCGGAACAAAATTGAGCCCCATAATAGTGTAATTGACTTTCCTATCAATTACGCTCACTGACACCAAAATCCATCAAGCCATATTCTTAACCCTAATTAGACCACAGCATTAAGCAACATTGTGATTTATTAAACAATAAAAACACCTACAACATATACAGTAATCCTAAGTAGTACCTGTACATCTTTTCTTTTCCTTTCCTTCTATGTATATTCGCCAGTCGCTGGCATAGCATGCCTGAGGCATGGGCTCTCCAACTCTTAATAAAAAGAAACAAAATTTAAAGGGTGGAGGAGGTTCTTGACTTATGCATCTTATCATCTTGTGAAGCAGCCGGTGGCAATGATGAAGATGTGGTTGCCGCAAGAAACAAGCTGGGCTAGTGCTGGAACTGCACCACCTGAAAAATCCCATGCAGATAGTGATAACATTTGAAGTTATGAAATCGGAGCAAATAACAAAAGTAGATTGCTGCAGATTCTCAATAGCACTAGGGATTAGAAACATCCCTACAATCATATGATGATCTTTCAATTTACTAACACTGGAATTTTCTACAAATATCTCGCCTGGAATTGGCCCACCAATCAGGGATTCAGGGTCAGTGCTCAAAACAATCCAGAACATCTACATAGAATCAACATGCATCAGTTTATTCTAACCATCCAAGCAATTGCATTGCATAGTTTGTAATACCATTGGCTACTAATTTCCATCGACTATATTTAAGAAAGGAGATTAATATTAGCATGACAACCAATCAATCTGCATTTTGGAACTAATCAAAAAGATGGTATCAATTTAGAGACAATATAATTGTGTCACCGACTCATTTGACGCAAATAATCAACAGGACAATTTCCATCTATATAATATTTACTAGTCAAATGAAGATAGCAGCTACAAACACAACACTTATGTGAATGGACTGGACCGTTATTTTATTTTATTTTTTGATAAATATTGGACCATTATTTTGTCACCAATATTTTCTAAATGATGCTTAAATGTTTTATCTAATTTTGCAGGAAGCAAAAAGGTAATGCCTTTAAGATCTATCTGCAGAATATGTTTAAGGTCTACAAACATAGATGCAATTGTAGGAGAAGATTGAATGTGCACTGACATAATTATTATCTACTAGTTGATGCAGGAGCTGGCGAGTCAATTTTGAAAACTTCTGAAATTTTACGTGTTTCCGTAGTTTTTGGACAGTAGGGATATTTTCATCATTTTGACCAGTCCCATGTGGGCCTGGTCCATGGTATCTTGTTCTTCTAGTTTAGTAGGGTTTATCTTCTAATTTTCAATTTAATTGCATTAGCAGGTGCAAAGATGTTGAGTTTCGTAATGCACAAGATAGGCAGTGGCATTTTTGTAATAATGATGAGCAGTATTCCAGCCACACAACACACAAGTCACTCTATAAATAGATGTATTCTCTTCCTTTTTTTTTTTTTGATAGAACAGAAAGCACTTAAGTTCAGTGTTCTCCTGAAAACCCTAGAGCGATTGTAGGTCCCTTGGAATAATTCCTTGGGGTTTCTTTCTCTTTCTTTTTCTCTACCCTTTTCCCCTTTATATACTTCTCTCTTTCTAACTTGTGTCAGTTTATTCTAGCCTAGCTGGTACTAGGGAAAAATGTAATTTTCATTGACAAGCAAAATGAAATTACCACTGAGTTTCCATTGTTACTAGAATTCATGTTCTGTTTCTGAGAAAGAAAATGTTACCAGCATTCTGCACATCATTAATTTGATCATCATTTAGAGGTGTTCCAGAACTTTCGCAAGTGCAGAGATGTAGTGGTGGATTTTGTAATCAGAGAGACATAATGTTGAGACTACCCTTAGGAATAAGTACCTTTATTGTAACTTTTCTAAGGAGCTATCAAGCTCAAGATGGCGCTTAAATCCAGGACAATAGGCTATAGGAGGTTCACTCAGATGTCGCAGGGGGAGATTCTCAGGGAGTCCAATTGGTTGTGATGAATTAACTATAGCAGATAATATGGTTCTAATCAAGGGTTTTCTATGGGCATTAGGGAGATTCAAGGACCCAAATTGTTATTACTAGAGGTGTGGTGTCAATTGGACAGATTTGGTCCAACCCGATCCAGTCCAATGTGAGTCTACCTATAAATGGACTGGACCCAATCCAGTCCAAATCCAATCCAATCCATTAAAATGTAAATGGATTGGATTGATCCAATCCAAACCGAATAAAATCTCAAAAATTATATAAAAGCACTTTTAGCATTGAAAAAACACTTTGATAAAAATATTTTCATAAAAGTGCTTTTACAAAAGCACTTTATTGAAAGTACTTCAGATAAGTGCTTGTGTAAAAACACTTTTCGAAAAGTACTTCCATAGACTTTTATAAAAGTACTTTCGTAGAAATGCTTTTGTAAAAGTACTTTCGTAGAAGTGTTTTTATAAAAGTACTTTGGTAAAAGTGCTTTCATAAAAGTTCTTTTATAAAAGTGATTTTCTAAAAGTGCTTCCATAAAAGTGCTTTTATAAAAGTACTTCCGTAAAAGTTTCTTTGTAAAAGTGATTTCATAAAAGTGCTTGTGTAAAAGTACTTTGTAAAAGTGCTTTTATTAAAGTGATTTTGTAAAAGTGTTTTTATAAAATTACTTCTATAAAAGTGCTTTCATAAAAGTACTTTTGTAAAAATGCTTTCGTAAAAGTATTTTTATAAAAGTTCTTTCGTAAAAATACTTTTCATAAAATTACTTTTATAAAAATGTTTCCGTAAAAGTACTTTCATAAAAGTGATTTATGTTATTTTCAGTTTTGATTTATTTCAAATTAGACAAGGGTTTGGCCTCATGATCGGATTATTGGAAATTTGGTTTACGTCTAATTCAAACCAACAAGAATACAGAGCAATTTATTTTGGATTGGCCCAACCCAATAATTATAATGGACCGTCCAAATCCGATTTGATAAGGTTTGGATCGAATTGGGTCCAAACCAAAATCGGTCGACTGACAACCCTAGTTATTACTTATTAGGTGGATGCGAAATAGGACTGAAGGTCCTTGGAGCATGGTAATTTTGAGTTGGGAGGCTAGAGCCTTGGTATCTTGGTGAACAGATCCTTTACATCACCCTTTTCTTTAATCAATGAAATTTGTAGTTATTGATCCAAAAAAACAAAACATAACAAAAATACTTTTTTACATGGCGACTAAGGTTTGCTAACCCATTTGCAAAAACTCTGCTTAGGGGAGAGGGTTTTAGGCCTGCCCTGTATTGCCACGCCAAAAGTCTGGGTTAATGAACTATATTTTAATTAACACAAATTGGTGACAGTAATGCAGGCATTTAATCCATTGAGATAAGTTGGAAAAGAAAACACTGATCTAATTATTTAGTATGGTTGTAATTCTGTGGAAAAGACGGTAATGCTGCATGCTAGAATTAAATAATAATCTCTAAGGCTGAAGTTGCTGAAATGAACAACTAATTGACTTGTATTTTAGTAGATAAAATTATTAAATAAAAAATATTTAAGGGTATAGTCATCTACCCAACTTCAGCTTCAGCCATTAAAGGAGTGCACAAACCTCCTTGAAAACTTATTCAATAAAAGATAAAACAATAAGCTTTTAAGTTCAACCACTTCAGCTGTTATCAGATGGCCCCTAAGAGTTAGTAACATTTTATGGAGTCAAAAAAAGTATAAAATATAAATTACTGAAAATAACAATTAAATAAGAAGATGCATCGAGATACACAAACTATATCTACTTAATCTTCTTAAAAATCATGCATCCAAAGATGAAATAGCAAAAAAACAGTTTCTTTTTCATTAAAAAAAAAAAAAGACGAAAGCTAAATAAACCATATACAGTGGGAAAATCCTAACCTGCTAACCCAGCACAAGCTGAAGAGAAAACTATTACAGGTGGAGCCTGCATTCACATGAAAAATAGCATGTAACCATTGGAAATATTGATCTTTGTAAAAACATGTCAATATTTTTACAAAATAGAGGCCTTTTACATTTGCATCCGAATGCAAAATTAGTTGAATATTATATTCTCATAAAATCAATACCTTCATCTTACTTCCATAATTTGTCAATTCATATATCTCTTGAAAGTTATATATATATATATATATATCTTGAAAGATGTTTGAGTATCAAATATATCAAGTTGCTCAAAAGATTAATGAAACTTTTAATACTCAAATACTTGGGATAGTTCCTCAACACCGGAAAAAGGACATTTCTCCTCTATAGCGAGGTAGGATTTTAAGTTTCAATAGACCACCCATCAAAGGCATTAAAAGTTAATGAAAATCAAGAACTAGATGAAAATAATATTTCAAGCAAGTTTGAGCATCCAAATAAATAGGATGTATTAGAATACTTACACCTATGAGGAAATGTAACCACATAGGCCCTTTTACCCATCTTTGAACAATTGGCATTGCTGCAAACAGAACATAAACATCAAGACAATTTAAAAATTAAATGCCCTCTGTTTTCTTCATGCTATCTCTATGATCATAAGAAACCGATATGCAACATAATAGAAGAAAGTTATTAAAATGTTAATAAATATAAAAAAATAAGAATAGGAATAATGACAACAACAAAAGTTACAGTATCAGCACAAATGTAATTTACTTATATAGATAACATCAAAACCTTTTGAGTTATGACATCAATAAATGTAATTTAATAGTTATGTTATTAACATATTATTTACCACCAAGATCACTGCATCAGCATCTTAATGCATCACTTCAATATTCATTTTTCTTTTCCTATTCTTTAACCAAAAAAGTGTAAGGAAAACCTTGTATTTTCCAATTTAGTCATTAAATACTGTATACTGAACATTGTTCTTTTATCCCATCAGATTGGTTCCTCATATTTAAGGTTAAAACAATTAAAACACCGTCTTCCCCTCTATGCCCTATTGAGGTCAATCTCTTAGGAGAGAAATGTCAGTTTATTCATGTTGTTCCATTGTCCTCCCTCCAGTTTGTTATGTGCTTTATCAATTCCATAGAATTAAACCTAATATACCCATAAAAAGAAAAACAATTCCTACTCAACGTACAAAAATACTATTAGCACAAGTCAAGCACTTTCCAAAAGTTAAAAAGCAAAAGAAAATAAAAAGAATGAGAGAAGAAAAAAAAAAAAAAAACTAGCATACCATGGTTAAATCCATAGAATGCACTCGCAGTGCCACCGACAGCAGAACCAATCTAAATTGCAACAAGAAACAAACATTTAGAGGAACCCAACAAAAGGGAAAATGAACAAATCATATTGCATGAATAGTTTTAACAAAGTATGATCAATCAAAGGCATCAAAGAATCAGTAGGAATTAGATATATATTTGAGGAAACAGATAAGGCCTAATTTCAATCCAAGCCCAAAATTAGAAAAATAGAATAAAATAAAAAAGAGAAAGAAGCATCCGAACCCACCATAGAAAAACCATCCCTGATTAAAGGCGGAACAGTCCAGCTACTAGTTTCCTGCCATCAATCCAAAAAGGTGTTAGGAAAATTGAGAGAGGAGGAGAAGGAGAACAAATAACGTTTCGGCTTCGCTACCATCTCCTTGGAGAGAGGACCAGCACAGTGAGGACATCTCAAACAAGGATTGTTTGAATCCTTCATCACGCAATGAGTCAGCCTTCACTGCCCTTGCACACTTGCACTCGACTCGCTCTGACTAAATCCTGTTTCCTCTAAGAAGCAAGAAGAAAAGACCCTCTGTGATCTGTGAAACCAACAGACGACATCTGTGACATGAGTAACAAGGAAAGAAGCAACACTCCCGTCCTCAGATGGCTACATAGGGTTGATCGAATTTGGATCCGCTGCTTACAGATCGCTCCTTACAGCCACATCCCACCGTGTTGGAAACATTTCCATGAATGATAACATACAAGGAGATGTTCCCGATGTACGGCTGGAACATGTTGTGAAATCGGTGCTAGGAGCGCTGTGTGAGGAGCTGATCCGGACTCGGGTTGATCATGGGCCGGGCCAAGCTGATCCGCTGCTTACTGATCGCTCCTTACAGCCACATCCCACCGTGTTGGAAACATTTCCACGAATGATAACATAGAAGGAGATGTTCCTGATGTACGGCTAAAACATGTTGTGAAATCGGTGCTAGGAGCGCTGTGTGAGGAGCTGATCCGGACTCGGGTTGATCATGGGCCGGGCCAAGCTGGTCTTTGGGCTTATATATATCATAAGAATTCATATTTTATATGATACATAATGTATGTATAAAAGTTAGAGAGAATGACATTCAATCCAGGGTCAGAATTTGTAGGCTCAAAATATATTTGGGGTAGGTGTTAGCTCGGAATTGATGCCAATTTATGGGCGCATAGAGTGTGGTCTTTTGACCTTTTGAATGTTTATAGTTCTCCAGTAAAAATCAGAAATCTGCATTGGGCATATCTGTACTTCTCCATAATATGATATACAATATTGTGTCATTATATATATATATATATACCATTTTTTTATCATAACTATATGGGGTAGAAATGGCAACAGGGCAAGTTCGAATAGGGTTTTGTAAATTTTAGATTTTATCCATCTCTTTAAATTTGTTAATTCCTATTTGTCCCAAAATCTGTAGTGGGTTGGATTTTGATAATCCAAACTCTCCTTGTACATGAAAATGTAAAACCCTTCTCAATCCTATTCTCCCCATACATGAAAATGTAAAACCTTCTCCAACCTTATTCTCTTTGCATTCAAAGGTTGGGCAGGTTGGGTTTAGAACCCGTTTAATTTCTTATAATTTCATGTTATGTATAAGCAATAAATAAGTAAAATAACATAAATTAACAGCAAAATTTTCAATAATTATTTAATTAAGACATGTAAAAAACTACATAAATTATCAATTATCTTTCATATAAAAGTCAAAATATTACCCATACCTGTACAGGTTATAGAATCTCAAAACTCCCCACCCCAAAACCCATCAGGATGGGTACAGAAAGGTTTTCTCTTTCTTTTTTTTTTTGAACAGTAAATTATCTTTACTTAGCTAAAAATACTACAAACAGTATGGATAAGTCGGATAGCTCAGGGTAAGGTAGAAATTGCCATGGGATTTGGGAGGGGTAGACCGAATATGGTCTATAAATGATAGATAATGGGCTCAGGCCCTAGCCAGAAATTTGTGGGCCTGTTGCGGACCCGGGCCGGGACGCAATTAAGTGCATCTCCATCTTCACCAGCATTTATCCCTATTATTCTTGGTTACTTGCTGCTACTAGTGCTAGGTTAGGCGAGCATGATACTTTGCAGTTTGCACAAACATAAAAGGAACAACTTGGGTTGGGAATGGTATACAACGAATGGATCTTTAACCCAGAATCTAAGTTAGGATCATTCCCTGAGGAGCTGCAAACAGGAGAAGTCCAAGAGATAGGAAGAGAAACCCCAGGTACAGGTAGGAAACCAAGGTGCTTTGGGAAGGCCTACAACCCTAGTTGGCCCTTCAGGATGATCAAAATGCCTATAGGTATAGGCAGCTGCCCTAGATTCTCTTTGTTGCTTTTGGTTTGTGGGAGAATGTCTACCAATTGTTGTCAACTCAGTGGCAATTTTTGTTAGGATATACAGATGAGGACTGTAAAATAGGGGGCATTACTGCAAATAGAGGGTGAAGGAGGAAGTATATATATAGAACATATTCTTCTGATGGGTCTCCATTGATTGGCAATTGCTTGCTTCAAGAAGAAAGATTTCAGCTTCATGGTTTGGTAAGCAAAGAAGAGTTGGGGTTGGGGGGGTTATAAGTTAAAAACTGGAGGTTCAGCAGACCAGATCATGGGGTTTGGTTGGATCCTGTAGCTACAAGTTCTGGACCATTTGCAACAAGAACCCAAATCCAAAGACCATATAAGAAGAGACAAAACTGGATCCGGTTTAACAGATCCGAATGTAGATTTTATAGAATTTAGGTAGATATTGTTGGGCTCCATCTGAAACAACAACAAAGTTCCAATTGTTGGAATTTATGTATAAAAAAGCAGTTTACAAGTGGATTGCTTGATCAATGAACCTGGAAGGGATCCAATTTTATGTGAATATGAGATGACCGTCTAGTAACAATCATGATATTCATTTTGAGGGTTTGCACATTCTTAGGGTTTCATGAACCAAAGAACCTGAAAGAGCAAATGGAAAGAGTTGGGGTGGTTGGGACTTGTTCTGGATGCCTTTATGCTTCAAGATATATTTCATTTGTAAGTCCAAATAGGACACAAGTAACATTCAGAAGAATTACCAGATTAGACATGTCAGGAATCTCAGAGTAACAGAAAGCCCACTGGTTGCTTTTCTTCTATTCTCCTAGGTCTCCTTTAGAGCCACTTCAAGGGAATACAAGCTTTTGAGGATCCTTGTTTTTGTTCCTTTGTTTTTCTTTTCCTTTGAGTAAATAGAATAGATACAGCTAAAGCTATATCAAGATGGACAGGTTACCAATTTGTAGACCAAATAAGCTTAATGAAACTATATGAGCAACTTGGATAAGGAGCTTGATGGGGAATATTACATGAACAGTTCAGGAATATGTGTGCAAGAAGTGGGCATCCCTGTCAAAGTAAAGTTGGTGAGTGAATGTGAGACCAAAGTACTCATATTGTGGTACTTTGATGTCTATTCAGTTTAACAGAAAAAAAAAAAAAAAAAAAAGTTAAACAGACTATAATCAATTCATTTAATATGCTTATATGATTTTTGTTGCCAAATTGCCATGGGAAGAAGCTATCTTTTTGGTATGAAACAATGATGAATGGTAGCTTCACCAATAAGACTCGTATATTATTCCACAAAAAAAGGGCTCACTCTAGCAACTTGAAACAGCAAAATTTTGTCATTACCTTTACACAAGCTATCCTTAGGCAAATTGGGATGTTTGCTGTGATCACTTTGCTTTATATTAACCTTTGATGCATCTGTTTGACAAGTTCAATAGTCCAAACTCTTATTCTTTTCTGTTTTGATATGCTAATCAAGTTTACTCAAAAATTTATAACAAGATCCGGAATGCATCAGTTGAAATATGGCTGATAAATATTAGCATGTTGCATTCAGCAATAGAAAATTGCAAAGAATTTACTTCTGTTCTACAGCTGCAGATAATCCGCCACCATTATCCCAGTAAGATTTAATGTATTGATCTAATTCAACAAGAGAAAGAAAATTGGGATATATCAACAACATGGCCAATGATATTGCCACATTATATTTGGCAGAAGCAGAAGAGGATTTGCTTAACGCATTGTAAATTTTTTTTTTCTACCAAAAAACTGAGACAACAAGTCATCCCCAAATATCAAGAACAAATCATGTTTAGCAAGTAAAGCATGTTACTCCTTTATTTCTGCTAGAACAACATTGAAAGGTTAAGCTAAACTCTTTCGGTTGTAAATGCTAGAAAAGAACTAACTAGCTGAAGAGGAAAAAAGCTCAAACCCCTAAGAAGGAGAAACACATAAAAGTGGATAGATAGACAGGCTTAACTGTAATTGAAACTTGAAAAAGGAAAAAAAAAAAAAAGAAGAGAAGAAAAAGAAAATGATTCTATTCCCTCTTGTCATGCACTTGGATTCCATTCCAGCTCCTTTATTTAGTTGATGGAAATTCCTAGCTATACTTGATTCCCATTACAGGGAAATTTCTATATTTCTTCCAAAATCCTAACCCTAATGACATTCTAATTCTCCCTCTCATTTCTTAGTTATTGACACGTCGAATAATTGATCAAGAAGAACCAAACAAGCTTATAGAGAAAAGCAATACCTAAAAAGTAGAACACAAAAAAAAGAAAAAGCCATCTTGACTCCTGAGTATAGAATGGGATTTAGTTTCAGATATATCAACCTCCAGAGAAGGCATTATTTCAATCAAAATGGTGCCCTTCAAATCATTACTTTGAACTATAAACCAGACAATTAATAGAAAGGAAAGAGTGGATGGTCTTAACCCAAAATGTTGTCTCCTTCACCAGTTAGAATAAAAAAGCATCTAACACTCATTTTAGCTAAAAAGGAAGAGGCAAGGGAACCCATTTTCTGTGGTTTTGGCTGGAAAGAACAACTGATTCTTGGCTTGAGAATATAACCCATGGGCTATAAGCTATATATATATATATATATATATATATTTCTTTTGAGTGGGGATAAAAGTTTCAACTAAAGATTCTCAAATGCCATTCCCTGGAATCTCACAACTTTTGGTGTTTCATTTTTCCTGAGGAATAATATCCAATGCCCATTCTCATCTGATATAATGTCACGTGAGGCAAACAAGCCACAGCCAATGGCCATCTTACACGTGTCTAGCTTATGATATTGACTTGTTTCTGCTTGTTGATCCTCCCATGCATCTCTTTTTGTGAAGGGAAAAGAAAATTCTTATTGACGTACCAACACTTGAAAAGGGAAATATAAGCATACAGGTACAAGAAGAAACTGTGTTCTTTTTTCCCTTCCCTCTGATTGGAGAATGAGGAGGGTTACTTAAAAACAGCTGAGAACATTTTAGTAAAACATTAGTGAAAAGGTAAGTACTTGTTGTACTACTATGGAGTAGGGACATGAAATGAAAAGCTCTCCTCTTATATTTATTCCATATGGATTTGACCGTATGCCCTTAAATAAAAGGAGAATGACCAATCAGCCAAGATCAGAATTTTATAGCCCCATACTACAGGGGGAATGCATCCTAACCGTGAATTGATGTCAAATTCACAGGCAGGATGTGGTTTATAGGGGGAGAGGACTAGTAGTAGGGGGGGACTGAAATTCAGAATTCTGCATCGGGTGTATCCGTACTTCTCCGTAAATAAAACCAGCACTGCGATCCATCTTTCCAATCTAAAT